GCCAACCTCATGGAGTTCAGCAAGGCCAAGTGCAAGGTCCTGCACCTGGGTTGGAGTCGAGGATGCAAGAAAAGTGGTGGATGAAACACTGGACGTGTCCCAGCAACATGTGCTCGCAGCCCAGAAAGTCTACCGTATCCTGGGCTGTATCAGAAGTGTGGCCAGCATGTTGAGGGAGGGGATTCTCCCCTCTACTCTGCTCTCGTGAGACCCCACCTGGAGTACTGTGTCCAGCTCTGGGGTCCCCAGAGCAAGAAAAGCATGGACCACAGAGAAGCATGAGAGGAGAAGAAAGCCATCCTTTCATCAATTCACCTATTGCATGAAAACTGAAGTCATCAAGTCTATGGAGATTATCCTTCCTCTGCCCTGACCATTCCTGGTGAACTAATATGGCAAAGGAATGATACAAAAACGAATCTGTCATTTTTATGGAGAACTGCAGTGATGTTAATAAATCTCATGTTCAAACAGTATTGCCAGAGTGAGCACCTGAGGAGAGACAGCTCCCCAGATTTCCAGAGTAACAACGGAGGTGGCATTTCAGAGGCCGATAATGTCCATAATAGGGCACTCAGCTGTGTCTAGGCATAATAGGGATCAAGATGCTGGACCTTAAAATGTCCCATTCCTTCAAGTTGATTTTAGCAGCTAAATATGAAAGAACTGACCGCATGATACCCTATGAAATCCTGGATGTCAGGCTTCCAGATGGTGTGAAGCACTCACTTCTGAATTCAGCTGTTCCTGAGACTACAGCCACTAAAACCATGTCACAGCTGAAGTGAATGAAATGGTTGTAAGTGAAAAAGGTGTCTCTCAAAGCTTGTGTTCATCCAGTGTTAATTCTTTTTCCACTGCTGTTACTGCTCTCTTCGATGTCTGGGAACAATGACCAGAAAGGAGGAGTACTGGTAGCACAGACTGAAGATCTGCAGCTGCCCTCTCACTGAGACTTCCCCTTTTTGCTTCTTTAAAAGAGGGCCCGCACTAGGCAGAGACGTCTGGTGGTGCTGGAAGCAGAGCGCCAGCAAGGCTAGAGCACTGCTGGTGACACGGTGGAGTAGATATTCCAGCTTGAAGCTCTACAGGGTCACAGCTCAGGTGCAAGAAAATGCAACCCTATCAAAACAAATCACAGTTGGGGATGGGGGAAAAAACACATCATGCTCTCATCACAATAAAAGCTACTTGGATCCACTTTCAAAACAACACATCAATCTCACCTGCAACTCATCACACAATGAACAGAACTAAATATATTGAACAGACCAGCCCATAATTGTCTTTCTGTCTCTGTTCAGCCCTTGCCAAAGCATCACCTCATCCGTCTTTTTCTACAGTGTCTGAAAGGATGCAGATTTCCTGTCACAATCTAGGACCCAGTCAGTTGGAGGCAGTCTGCAGCTGTGAGAACAAGGCCTCTTCCCAGCATGGGGATGATACAGAAAAGGCTCCAAGTAGAAGTATGGAGACAGCGTTTAATCCATACAGAGAACTAAGGGGACAGAGAGAGCAAGAGGTACGCACACAGGCCCCTCTCTGCACATCAGGCAGGGCAAGGGGCACAAAGGCAGCCTCGCTTGTAGTTCAGGGCCGTCAGGCCAGTAGGGACGCGGCTGCCTTCCAGCGCAGAATGGAGGGCACTGGCAAACAGGGTGCCAAAGAGAGCCCTGGCGTCCTTTTCCTGGCACGCTCCCAGAGCCTCTGAGATCGAGTGCTGTTCACGCGAGTCTGTCTCTTACAAAAGCCTCTGCATTCCCGATGAAACAAACAATTGAAACAAAGAGTCCGTGGCTGGTGGCTGCAAAGGTTCACGGAGGCCTGTCCTGCTGGTTGCTCTGCATCTTTTCCACCGCAGTCACCTCACAGTATCCAGCCCATGAGCATGTCCCCAGCTTCACACCACAAGGGACATCCTTGTAGGAAAGTCGTTCTGAAAGAGAGGAGAGAAACATCAACAGGAAAGCACTGATGGAACGAACAAAGATGTAGTTGCGACAGAGACACAGCCAAATGGCAACGGCCTTGTCTGCTCACACCTCTTTCCCCTCTCTCACGTGCCACCGAGGCTCAGGCCTAACAGCCACGCTGCTCTAGCGACAAGGTCTCCCCCACGAACAGCCTTCAGCCAGCTGCCCTTCCCCAACAACCGTACACTCACCAGTCCTCCCCAGACTCACCAGGATGCTCTGCACTCCTGGTACCCTGTGTGAGGAATGCCTTTGGCGTGCATGGCCCATACACGTGCCTGTGGGCGTGCACCCACTGGACTCTGTCCTCTCACCCCTTTCAGAACGACCTCAGGTCTCACACTGTGCCTGGCTCCTAGCCCTGTTCCAGTCCAGAAGAACAGAACCTCTCAACCCTTCCTCAACAAAGGTCAAGGCCAAAGTAATGCCCTGCAATTTCTGTAAGCCCTGGGTAAGTTCCCTTCCCTACCGTGAGCCTCCTAAACCCTAGATAAACCCCCACTTCCTTGGATCACCAGGCCACAGTTGCCAAAAACATCCCTTACCTCCCCAGTCCCAGGCACATCTCTCTCTCCCTGCCATCGTGGAGTTCTGTATAGGAGCTATTTCCTTTTCTGGCCTCCTCCACCCACAGTGACTGCCCTCTTCCCAGAGTAACTCCCCTTATCTGGGGTTCCCCATGCCGGGACTCCAGGCTCTACGCCCCTGGAGAGCCCCCCTCCCCTCAACTCTGGCTAGTAAACCCTGTCTGGTGACTCCCCGCTCAGCCTATTTGGATCAGGAACACCAGACATGGATGGCCTCACTGTTTTCTTGGGGTCCTTTTTCCTCTTCTTGTCCGAGGCGTTGAGGTAGGCCTGCTCCCTGGCCCTGTACGAAGGGCCTCGGCTCAGCTCCCTCTCGCTGTATGGGGGCAGGGTGTCCTCCCCTTCCTCCTCCGGAGGCGGTGACGGTGGCTGCTGCGCCTGCTGCTGCGACTTCTCAGCTTTGTAGGTGGAGGGTGGTGACCAGGCATAGTATGTTCCCCCTCTCTGGCTGGGCTGCGAGCTCAGCTTTGAGGGGGTTTCACTGTGGTCGCCGCTCTCATCATAGCTCCGGGATTTCCTCTCCAAGACACTGCTGAGGTAGGAGTGATCGTATTTCTGGCTCCCTCCGGGCGTCCGGCTCACCAGCCTGGGCAGGTGCTTCTCCTCGTGGGCCCGTCTCCGGGGTGGACTGTACGACCAGCCCCGATCCGAGTCCGTCAGCGGCTCTCGGTTCCCCCTGCTTCTCTTGGTGTAGTACTCCTCCATGGAGCTATCCTGGTGGGGCAGCCCTCCACCACGGCCGCTGTGCGACTCCGACCGCTCGAAACGTCGAGTTTCCTGGCTGTCTGCCCGCCGGGTCCGCTGGCTGTAGGACTCGGCAAAGGCCGCCAGCTCGTCCATGGAGACGGCTGGCACTCCCACAGAGAAACTCTTGCGGGACAACATCTCGGACTTGGACCGCTGCTGGCTGAAGGAGGGAAGAGGTAGTATTAGAGGGCAGAAGGCAGCTGTACCCATCCCCCTGGCTGCCTCTGCAGACAGGGGAGGGAAGCAGGGACTCCTGGGGCAGGAATCACCTGACCTGTTTTCATCTTCTGTAGGAAGATGTGTATCACATCCTCGAAATCCCTGCTTCTCTCTGCTGCCTGTAACGGCACCTTAGTGCGGATAGCTCTGACTCTGCATGTCTAACGCCAGCTGAGATTAGCCTGAGTGCACCTCCCCTGTCCTCCAGTATGCAGAGCAGGACGGGCTTCTCCTTGGCCCTACAGCTTGTAGGGCTACGTACAGCTCTGGCTGCACCACAGCATCAGGGCCTGATTCCTAATTAGCACACCAGCACTGAGAAGTACTGGAGAGGTCAGGTACAAATCTCAAGAGAGCACCTTGAGAAGGGTGGCTTGGTTTCCTATCGATCTCTTTCACATCCCACCTGGAATGGGGCCGGTAGCTGGCTTTGCCCAGCTGTGTAGTCTTCTGCAGACTTGTGGGAATGAGATTGATTCTGACCTCATCTAATGACATCTCCAGTTTCCATGTTCCTCTGACCCCTCTGTCCTGCCAAGCAGAACCAGAGCAGCAGGAAGTGGAGAAGAGCTACCAGCCTATCTGTCCCTTCTCCTTTCCCTACTGCTTTGCCAGATATACCTGCCTTCCAGTGCAGCATTCCTCACCTGTGCCGGAAACTGTCCCGCTCATCTCTGTAATCGGAGACAGCCTGTGATCTGGAGGTGCTGCCGCCGCCCATCACTCCTGCCCAGTATTCGGCATCGCCATCCAGGTCCTCCGCGGGAGGCAGAGGCTTCCGTCGCACCTGGCGGTAGGGCTGCCGGAAGTTCAAATCCTCCTCGTGCAGAGAGCTGAGTTCGGAGATGGTGTTGTTATCTGGAGGGGAGGTTGCAGAGAAGAAATGAGACAGGCATGCCCTGACAGCATGCGTGAGAAGGGAGGAGAGGACAGGAAGGCTGCAGCGGCCCAGCCGCAGCTGCTTCAGAAAGAAGCTGAGCTGCCCTCTGTTAGAAAAAGTTCAAAATGGAATTCCAAGGCCCTTCTCCAAACCCTTGACTGATCTTTCACAAGACCCCTTGGGGCTCAATTTGGACACAGAGCTGCTATTAGGCCTACAGGTCATCTGAACCGGTAGCTGGCAGCCAGGTTGGACATTCTAAGGGTACCGCAAGTGGCGCCAGGTGCCTGTGTTCTGACAACCGAGCTCAGCCTTCGTGCCGAAATCCCCCCCCAGCCCTGCTTCAGGCACAGGAGTGAGCTCTCCACCCGCGCAAGGTGGGCACTGCGCTCGGTGCAACATCACCACAGCCGTTGTGTGAGACAGGCTGGCTCTGGATTTAGCCCGACTTGCCCAGCTAAAACAAAACCAACCCCCTCAAAAGAAGATGAAGAAAGAAGTAAGAGACTGTCTGAATCACTGTCAGTCTCTACCCCGTCAAGCACACTGACATCTGGAGGCCTGACATACCAATCTGGAGAGGTCTTTTTATAGTAAACCTCGTGGGTGGAGAAGAAAGTGTGCTCAGCAATGACTGTTTTAGAAGTACATATCATTTGTTAATGCCTAATCTGTACAGAGCTTTGATGTAGTGTCATTCCCTAAAGCCCTTACCTTCACTGATTTGCAGGATCTCACGTGTCTGTGTTACACGAGCCTCTACCAGTGCCTAGTGTGGGTTAGCTCCGTGCAAATCGGATGCTGCCCGTGTCGGATGCTGCCCACAGGAACTGAGCCTCCAGCCTCCTGCTGTCCTCCATGCAGCACAGCCGGAGGACAGAGCAGCACTGCAAGCCCTCCTTATGCACACACCTTGTCCTGCCTCTGCCTCCTAATGTGAAAGGATCCTCACTTGGGTTTGCCTTCTGACACCCGCTAAGCGCAGCTTCAGCCTTTATTTACAGAAATACAGCTCGCCAGAAGGTATTGGAAGACTGCTCTGCACAGAGCTCGGTTCTGAGTTTGTATCACGGCCCCGTGCACCACCCTCCTCCCCTTCACCTCCAGCAGTCCGACTGCCACGCTCTGTACGGATGCACGTACCACCTCTGATCTAACACTGACCAGCGTCACAAAACCTGACAACCCCCTTATAGTCCCTGCTCCTTCTTCAGGGCAACAGCTGCTCTGAACTACCTTTCTGCATCCTTCACACCAGTGTGGTCGCTGCAGCCCACAAAGCATGCTTTCCATAAAATCGGCCCTCTCCTATTTTGCCATGCTGGGAATTTACAGGCACCACACCATAAGGCATCTAGAAATGGTGAGGCCAGTATCCCAGCTATTCTCACACCACGGGCTGCAGAAGGCATGAGTACCGACTTGGCTCTTCAGATGCTGATGAACCAAAAGTGTAATTATCCAAGTGGCCAATTTTCATGAGCGTTTGAATCTCCCACACCTTGTTTGTTCTAAGGATGATTAGGTAAGCAGCAGATCTTCAAAACCAGAACATATCTGTAGATGTCTAAAATCTAGACTTTATCTGCCTCAACTACCATGTCCTGGACATCATATCCCAGTGTCTGGCTCTAAGGCAAAGCCAGTAAACTTTGAACTATAGACTTGCAGCGACTTCTACAGGTCAGTGGGGAGAAAAAAGAAAAACCAAACCATGCTTGTTCCTCACATCGTTCTCTCATCCTCCTAGCTGGGTCAAACTGAGCCAGTTCTTTCTCGACGTAGTACAGCACCTTCATGGAGTCTCTGTCCTTGTCAGCCTGGATCCGGTACCCTTTGCGCACTGCTGGGGAGGAAAGCAAAGCGTTAGAGGAAAACCCACCTAAATCACAGGAGGCTTTTGACAATATTGCTTCTGTAGTTGCATTCCCATCTGCGGGCAGGTAGGCTGCGTCTCCCAATACAGAGTGACTCAGTCCTTGCCTCAGAAGAAATTTGCCTAGAACGTGGGCTGCGAAGTTGTGAGCAGCTGCATCACTTAGAACGTGTGCAGTAACAGCAAAGAAAGGTTTGGAAATGCCCAGTCTGTACAGCCAAATGCCTGAAGAGGTGTCATTGCCACAGAGCAACTCCACCTCCCACCGAGGATGGCAGAGAGAACAGCAGCACTCATTTCCCCTTCCTCAGCACTACCGAAAGGATTCATCGTGGCACGGGAGGAGCAGTCCCGGGAGATCAGGCTGCCTCCATGCAGCCGTAAGCTCCCAGCCTGCAGAGCAAGCAGGTGGCCGGGCATGCGGGAGCTGCTGCTCTGCAGGACCATGCCACCCTCCCACCCCTACGAATTCTGCTCACACAGGTTGAAGAGCATGTGGCAGGAGATGCTCCAGAGCATACAGAAGGAAATCCAGCAAGTCCCACAAAGCACATCACCCTGCTCTGAGATCTATACCCATCAGGTCACCAGGTAACTGTGAAACTGCCTGCTTGGGCACTCTTTACATGCTTCATTTTACAGAAGAGGTGTGTCTTACACATACGTTACGTGTTTGACTCCTGGGATTACTCCATTTGCAGGGGAAGCCTGGACAGCTTTTTTTGGCTTTTCCACATTCCTGTGTGTAGAAAAGAAGCCCCTATACACCTGGAGCCACAGCAGCTCTTCCTCCAGCAGGCTGGCTCCATGCACACTCACATGCCAACCCTGCAAACAGCTCGACTACCCCAAGGCAGGTGGATAGCCAGCAAACAGAGAACTCCACCTACCAGGCCGCTGAGCAAAATAAGGCTTTTATAGCAGATTATTTAAGAAATGTCTCAGCCAGGGGCTATTTCAAGATTGATGGAAACACAGGTCTAAGGACAAAAAAAGGACTACAACCCTCAAATTTGTCCTGATCAGAGAACTGTTGTGAGGACAATTCACTCAGCACCACAAAACGGAACCCATCTGCCTTGCACGGGGCTAACACGTTCCCTCGTGTGAATACTGCAGCGTTGCGTGAGCACTTCTCTCATGGCACCATTTCAATCGGTGCTTTCGAGCCAACCTGTTCTGTTTTATCCCACATCCCGATACAGCAACCTACTACCAGATGGGTTTGGTAGTACGCTGCATAGTATGCACCGCGTGGGCTGAGCGAGGACTTGGCAGTGGTATTCTTAGGTACCTTCTGTCCCAAACTGCTGTGCGTGTCTGCGCACTATTAAATAACCACGCTCTGCTTCAGACACGGCTGTGCCGCAGGAACAGGGAGAACGACTCCTGTAATAATCCCGCACATTGCTTCAGGAGGAAAGTGCTTTACTGAGGGTTTTGACTCTGCACATGTAAGGTAAGTAGCTACAACCTGAACTATTACCTTGCGTGTCTGTGCTTGGGAAAGGTGTTAGATGTGAAAACACGGTATGGGTCTACCAGGGTCCTGCTTTCAGTGTGTCTCCAGACAGCTCAGCTGACAGCAGCCTGTTTTATTACCCCCACGGATGTGCGCGCAGCAACCACAAACGCACACAGTGATTTACAGAACTCAGGGAATCCAAAGCGGAAGACCCTCACGTCTCCTCAAGTGAGACTGTGGCTATAAAGAGCAGCCGGACTGACCAGCCTCAGAAGCGATGACTCCTGCTGCACTGCATGAGCAACGGCAGCCAGGTGAGTCCTCCACCTCACCGCCGTAGCTGACCCCTGCCTGGTACCTTATCAGGAAAGAGGCCTCTTGCTATTCTTTCTTCCAAGGTGCCGACTAGAAGCTCAGCTGAGCTGCCACCTCGTTTACACACAGACCAGCAAGCCGCTATCAGCTGGAAACGACTGACCTACTAATAACCTTTGGGGAACTTCAACAGGCAGCTTCTAGACTCTGCCTCCCCAGAGCCACTGCTCACACTGAGGCTGTGCCAAATATCTATTTGGGCAACACCTACAGCTCCTGGAAGTGATGGAGAATTAACTAGGCTTCACGCTCGACCTGCTACTGCAGCTGTGTATCCAAAGGATAATGAATTTCTTGGTTAAGTCTGTAAGCATCCAGAAATTAACTCTGGAATTAAATCTGCAAAGATGACTGTGAAGAGCTCATAAAACGTATTTTCCATTATAGATAAAGCATATTTTGTCGCTATGTTTATTTATTAAATACTTCTCGCAGTGATATTGAATGTTCAACTTATTAAATCTCTCCATTATTCCTTCGTGTGAGAACCAACAATATTATTGCTTCCTCTTCACATCCCCTCCTTCATCCGTAAATTGCCATAACCCTTTAATAAGGTTTGAATATTTTTAGGCCCATCTTAATTATAAGGGAATGAAGATGCAGAGATGTTAACTACTTGTCCAGAACCATTCCCTGAAGTCAGAGGGAATGGAACATTCTTCCCTGTTAGACCAGATTTTCTTCACCCGAAACAGTTCCTACGTTTCTGATGTTTAATTTGTGTTTAACTGTGGGCACTTTTTTTATTCTTCCGTGGGTGGCACTAAGTCAGCAAAAACTGTAAGCTCCCTCCCTCCCCAGAAAGGACAGCACGACTGGTTTTTTCAGACAAGTGTGGTTAGGAAGGAAATGTCGACTCATCCTCACACACTTTCCATATTGGAGGGGTGGAGTCCTGCTCCGCAGTCGACAACTTCCCTGTGGGCAGGATGGAAGAAATCCACATAAGACACTCCAGGTAACCCCTGCATGTGAAACAGACAGGGCATCCTAACGTAGGCATGGCCAGCGCTCTTCCAAATAAGAGCTCCAAGTTGCTTTGCTCCCCTGTTCAGCCCTATGTTTCGGATGGAGTTCCTAGGCTTCGCTGGAGCTTTGCCGCATGGCTTTTATGGAACCCCAGACGAGTTTTCTGAATAATCTCACGCCTGGGTCTGCTCACCAGCTCACCTCCCAGGGGTCATTGGTAAGCACAGAAACTACCTGGGGCACAGGCTGTCCCTTTTAGCCTGGCAGCCAGGACTGCCAAATCCGCCAGTCTCTATCCCCCAGCACTTCTGATCCCACTTTTTAAAATAAACCTGCCAGAAAGGTTGAGGCCTCAAAGATACCAAGTTTCAGAGCCAACCTACACTGGCTGAGAGGAGGGCACAGACCCTGACTAAGGCTCCTTCTGAGAAAAGGCCTTTTTTGTAAACTCAACCATTACCTGTTTTCTTCAGCTTGCTGTCTGGCCAACTGGCACACAACTAGCTTTGAACAGCCACATGTTTTCTCTTCCACAGCCTGGAATTAGGGGATATTCTGGCAGTGTGGAGGACCTTGAGAGAAAAGGAATGGGGTGCAGGGTATCACCCTTCCTTAGCTCCACATTTCACTGAACACCTTGAACAACAGGTGCATGATCCAGACTAAGGACTTGTCCACACCACGGCAAAAAATACCAATTAAAAATAAAAAAAAGATCAAGAGCCTCTGTTGTCTCATCACAACAGTTAAAACTCCTTAATAATGGTTTTGTTAATAAATGCATCTTTCTGTGTAATGACCACGGGACGCTAAGAGCTGTTCCATCTGGTCACCAAACGCATCTGCAGTTTTCCATTCCGCATTCGTGCGCTGCTAGTAACGCACAGCAGAGACGAGACTGGGGCTGTGATCTGACTCTTAAAGAATCCCTGGAGTTCCCACGGCCAACACCACGCGCTACACACGGGGCCGTTCATCGCAGGAGAAAAAAATTAAGCACTGGGCTGCCATTCATCACTTTCTGACAAAGGCTTTTGAACTGGATACATTCTGCTTTGGATCAGTGACTGATTTATTTCCTATTTTAAAATGCTCCGTTCCAGAGCTCTGTTTTGATTTCAGTGGGAGAAAAGAAAGTATCGCTGTGGAAGGAAAACATTTTCTGTAATTACAGAAAGGTTAATATACTGACTGGGGCAGTGGAAGGATGCGTAGGGCTGTTCCACGAGCTTAAGTATTTGATTATGCCACTTGATCTTGTCTTTTCGGAAGTGTCTTAGCAAACATTGTCATGAGCAAATTTAACACCCGATCATTTGCATGGTGCTTTGAAATCAGCCCTGTGGCTGGATGAATGGCAGACGTACCGTGTCAGTACGGTGACTCTGCACTGGTGAGAGTCACTTCTGCTGCAGCACGTTTGAATTTAGACAGCCATTCCGATCCTGACATGCTAGCGTGTGGCTAACTAGCTCCCCTCTCTTTCCTTGATGGCAGCTTCCTTCGCAGCGGGAGAGGTGACCCTCACCCAGCTAGAGTCATCACACTGATACTCCACGTCTGACATTGATCCACAACTCCTTTCTAGTCAGAAGCCTTTTATCACTCACATTTCACAAATGCAAAGGCTGAACAAAAGAAGTGACTCACTGACTTGCGTAAAGTAGGGGAGGGGATCCAGCCCCAAGGCTCTTGGGTAGAAACGCTGAGGGAGCATGTCCCTGTGCCCAAAATGCCATGGGGAGAGTAAACCATGCTGCAGCAAAAACTGCTGCCAGAAGCAAGCAGTGCCCTGCCAAGGACAGGAAGAAGAGTTTACCAAGGGAGAGCTGCTTGCAAGGCACCAGCTCTAAGGGGAGAATGGCCACTGCCTCTGCTCCCCTGAAATCATCCTCATCCTTTTCTCCTGAGCAAGTAAAGGTCTGCAGTAGCCACGAGAGGGGTCCCAGGCATGACCTTGGTCGCCCATTCCCTGCTGACCTCATTAGGCACCCACACACTGACGCTGCGCTGAGGGCACCAGCAAAGTTGGACCATGCAAATGTCGTTGTCGGAGCCAGGATTATAATGCTGCCTCTCTCTCCTGTTCATGCCACTCTGCCGGTGACAATCATTCTTCCCTCTCCCAGCCCTGCTCCCAGTAAGAGGACTGAATGCTGTGCCTGGCACTGCAAATTACCATTTTGGCTTCCTCCGCTGGATTCACTTGGGGCTAAGGGAGGAGGGTGTGACTTATCCATCAGCACAGCAGGAGATGGGACGCCGGCTACAGGAACACTGGGGATGTAGTAGGGACCTGGCATGGAGGAGACTGCAGGAGGGTACCCAGCTTTTGCTGCCTTGCCTGCTACATACACTGAAAAGGAAAAAGAACAGCAGTCAGCATCACACCAGCCTCCCACAGACCCACAGAGCACGCAACCGAAACCCGCACATCGCCAAGCCTGGTGACACCCAGCAGCAGAAAACAGGACAAATGAAATGGGAAGGACCAATCTGAACCTCTCTGAGCCCCAAAGGGCACTGAGGGGAGTTTAAAAAGTGCACACGGCAGGTCAGGTGAGCGCTGCAAGATGCCCAGCACTTGAAGGACATCCGGAGTGTTGGAGCCGGCATTACTGCTGCCCTGATTTAGCGGCAAGTCAGCTTTAAAAACAGCTGAGGACTCCAGTAGCAGGGATGAAGCTCATGAAACTTGACAGATTATCTACCTGAGTCTGACCAGGAACCTTGCTGGGTTGCAAGGATTTTGCACTGTTAGAGGGCAGCTGCTTTGCGTTGCCGGGAAGAAACCACCCAGAATGCTCTTAGCTCTGACCCGCAACATTCACTGACACCACAACAACTTTGGAAGGGGAACATGACCCTTTGCAGGAGGAGGCACAGCTGCCAAGGCAGGGAAGGCTTGGGGAATTACACTTGTAATTAACTTTGAGCGCTCAACCATTGAGCAATAGGTCAGACGCTTCACTCCCTAAGAACCAGTCCTTCGGTCAAGCAAAGTGCTCAGGGCAAAGAAAGTATTAGCAGATTCTCCTCCTGTTCTTCTGGGGAGCAGCAGCAGCGCAGGAGAAGCCTTGTGCCAGGCTTGGAGAGGGTCACTCACGTGCTCGGGGACAGCAGCAAGATTCAGGACAGCAGGGGCAGCGGACATAACAGCAGCAGCTGTGTGGGCAGCACTGGCACCAGCAAATTCCCACCAGGAGGAAGAAGAGGAACGCTCCCAGGATCACCAGGCCCACAAAGACCCACTCTGGAAAACAAGGGGAGAAAGAGATACTTACAGGACTGCACACTGCTGTGGGAGGGGACGTCAGCAACATCCTCACAGGGGAGAGCATAGGGGCAAAACAGAGAGGTGAAGAACAGAAGCTCCCTGCTGGTCTAGGACTAGGCTCCCCTCTGTGTCGAAGCAGAAATGGCACATGACAGTGAGAAATGGAGCTACAGGAACGTGGTCCCTTCCTGCGACAGCCCTGGCTGGCGGAGAGGCGAGCAGCACGGAGGCAGGAGCTCTGGCTCCCCAGCACAGAAACCCTTTGCCCCACGGCAGACCTGTACCAATGCCACAGGATGTACCCCATTAGTATTTGGATCTCATCAAAAACTCATTCTTCCCAGCCATGTTCATGCCTCGCTTGCGTGTTTGTTCCCTACCCACATCCTAGTTTTAATGGGACAAACGATGGTGAAAAGCACACTATAAATAGCCCAGTGAATGAGCCAAGGCCTGCCCCTTCGCAACTAGGCCCACGCATGCAATTATTCTTTTGAATGTGCCGAACGAACATCCTATTCAGGCGCTGCAGCCAGCCAGGAAACCTAACAACCGCGTGTTTTTTCCCCCCTGCTGAAGCCCCACATGATGCCTGCCAGGCCCCGAAAGGGAGCGGCTGTAAACCCCCCTACAAGTGAAAGCACAGGCGAGCTGATCCACAAAAGCCAGGATGGGGTTTGAGCGGGAAGGGGAACGAGAAAAGGTTTCTCAGACTTGGCTGCGGGGAAATCCGCAGCAGCCGTGGGGGGAGCAGGTCTCCAGCCTGCGCCGGGGCAGCTCCCAGCTCCCACGCTCTGCAGGGGATGGTGCGCGCAGGGCTGCGCCTGCTGCCGCGTGGTGCTTCCCGGGATTAAGGGACTGCTCCATGAATGTTAACCGGAACAAGAAATGCCCAGACTCGGAATGTATAAGAGGCCTGGTGTTGGTTTTAAGTCACAGAGATGCACCAAGCTGTCTAGACCGCTGGTATGGGGACCCCCGTGTGCAAAAACTCCAGGTGTGGTTGAACAAGATGCTAAGAAAGGAAAAGAAGTGGTGGGGGCTGCTTTGCAGCGGGGTAGGGTTGACCCCCCCCACCCCAGGGAAAAAAAAACAGGAGACCACTGTTTCCAACCAGTCTGGCCTTCACTGCGGGGTCTCCTGGTACGTTACTGTTTCAGGTGTAGAAGCACTGAAAGAAGGACTGTGGTGCGAGTACAGAATTACACCGGAAAAGAGAGCACCTCTCGCACGCATCGCTAAGACGAAAAGTCAAGGGAAAATGCTCAGCTCGGTACAATCAAAACAGAACTTCTTTCTCGTTCTTAACAAAATGCAAAAATAAGAGCCTCTTTTGAATCATTCAGAGCATTCCGCCTGAACAAAAGTAAAATTCTTGGCTTTGTTGGAGTTTTCCTTAGCTCTTTTACAAACAACTCCCCTTTCTTTAATGCCATTTTTAACCTAGAGCTTACAATTTCCTTTAAGAAATGTCAGTGAGAGATCTGGCATTTACAAATCAAAACACTTCATTTCGGAAGTGTCAAGTGAAATGTTTTATATTTTTTGAACATTTTTTTCTTTTTTTGGCTGAAACAGATGCATTTCATTCAAATTTGCAGATAATTTTGGTCCCTGTGGAATAATTTTTTTTGGTGAAGCTACTATACACTGAGAAATAATTCAGCTAATGAATAAGGAAACGGCTGGAGGGAAGCACTCATGAATGGCAAAGCAAGAGCCGAGCAGAGATGACTGATACGGCTCCTCAAGTGCCGGTGCTAGGAGCCACCCGAATTACTATTTTCATTAATGACCTTGACACAGAAAATAAGAATGTGTTAATGTGTCTTGCGGGTAAGAGGGAGGGGAGCATTGCCACTACAGATGAAGCCTGGGATATGTTATAGGAAGGGCCGGTTGTCCTGGGGCCTACAGTAAGAAACACGCAGTGCGGCAACAGGCTGAATTTCGAAGTACGCAGCAATGCTTCCAAGGTCACGGGTTCAAAGATTGAGAACCACCTCTGCTCTGAAAAAGAAAAGAAAGCACACTATTCCATCGTAAGAGGACGGTGAGGAGTTATGCAAAACCGACACAAAAACAGCCAATGCAGTCCAATGCCCAGGGGAGTTAAGTAAGTAGAGTTAAGTAAATGGCGCGACTAATACCACCATATAAGGCCTCCAGGTCACTTCATCTGAAGTCACTGAGGTTACACAGCTTTGGCCATCTTCGTACAAGAAAAGATGAATTCAGGGTGGAACTGATGCCAAGCGGGGATTTGAGGGGAAGAAGGGGCTCAACAGCCTGCCCTGCACCAGGAGGGCTGAAGCTCACTGCATCAGGCTATTAAAAAGAAGGCTGAGAGCAGACATAGCTGCTGCCAGCAAATATGCTAAGGAGGACGAATGCTAGGAGGAAAAGCAGGTATTGTAGTTGAAGGTCTTACATAAATAGGAATAAACAGGCTATGAGTAATGTAGATGAAAGCTACATAGAGCACATCAAGAAAAGCGATTCAACGGGAGGGAGAAAGGCCAAACCCAGGCCACGCTTAGGCTTGCTAAGCTTACAGAAGGGACAAACTTACACGGGGTCTGGGATAGCAAGCAAGGCAGCGAGCCAGACCATCCTTTCCAGTCCTGTACTTCCTAACCAATGCTGATCCAAGCAGGCCAACAGCTCAGTGGCTTCTTGTCACATTCTCATCTTGTTCTGTATGACCATCACCGATACAGAGAAGGAGGTGAAACAGTGTCGCACGACAGAAGTAGCCAGACACAGCTTTGCAACGCAGCTCAGATGTCAGACCTCCAGAACCACTAGCGAACAGTTCACAACCACTCCATGAAGGATAAAAGCCTGATAGAGGGAAAAACCAAACGGCAAGTCCATTGCAGGGGTATCTGTGGTCTTTCTGAAAAAAAGTACTAGGAGTACTTTTCGCAGGAGCACAAAAGGAGGTCAGGTCAGCACGTGCACCGCACACTGCAAGACAGCTGGCACCAGGAGTGGATGTCAGACATCGGTGTCCCAGTCACAGGGACCTATGAATCAGGAAGGATTTAACTTCACAACAAGTTAGACCATTTGCTTCCCTGATGTGGTTATGAAAACAGCAAAAGACCCTGCTGGCTCCTCCTTTATGCACAAGACTGGGATTCAACCAGTTTTGCCTGCAATTCCCTAATCCTTCCTCCAGTACAGCTGTCATCTTCTGTCACAGCCCTTCTCAGTGCAACCCTGAGATTCAAATGAGTACCAAGCTGAAATGTTATGTGTCCTCACCGTCCGGGAACTACTGTTTTGTGCTTGCAGGAGCATCTGCTTTTGTTTATTCAGGCAGTGCTAACAGCTGAAGTGTGGTTCGCCGCTGTCTTTGACACTTTCTTGTTGTTTATACTCATGCAGCGAGGGTACCAGAAAGCTACCTGGCCAAGGCACAAGAGTTTTATATCCATTCAATAAAACTGTAAATAGCAGGGGGAAAGAAAGTGTTAGGTGACAACAGAATCAACTTCTGTCTATGCTGAAAAGACCAATCTCTCTCCTGCCATGCTGAACTTCCAGGGAGCTTTGGTTATGCTGGAGGCGGGGGAGTGTCTGCCTTCTCTCGGTTTGCATCTCCGGGACAGACTTGAAAACAGCTTCACACATTTATGTAGAGCTGCATTTTTGCACGAACGTGCAAAAGCAACGCTCCTTGGGCACCGTCAGGGGATGATCAGATGGCTCAAGGGCTACATGTTCTCACAGCTTTTCCCTTCCAAGGACAATCTGTTGCACAGTCCCTGTCCCCTCTGCAAGGAGTGCCAGAACGGGGGGCTCTCATCAGTTTGGCTAGCGAGGCATTTTTCACGGCAGAGAGCTTTCGTGTCTGGTCTCACCACCTGGCGTTTACCTAGATAATGCACAGGAGGGGCTGGGCCAGTGCTAACCAGTGCTCCATTTCCAGCACCTCCTGTGCTACCATCTGTGGTGAAGGCAACAGGGTACCTGCAGGACAGGGGCTGGGGAGTGGAAGCTACTACTGCACAAGAGCAGATGACGTACAAAGCCATAAGGGCACGCGAAGCTGCCAAGGTCTCGCAGGCTGGAGCGGTGTTACCTTTGTGCTAGCAGCGGGGAGAGCAGAGACCTCGATATGAAACCTCCCCTGAGCAGCGCTGGCATTTCTGCTCTCATCCCGATCCTGGCACGGCATCAACCCTCTCTGCATGCTGGCTCCCAGACTGGCCGTTCCTCCCCCAAGCCCCAGCATCAGCTCTCTCAGATCTCAACCCAACTCACGTTCCCCGTAAGCAATAGCTTTTTCCCTTTTTATCCCCAGGTGAAACACACGTAAGAGTGAAATGTACGCCACGTAAAGATGCTGTAGAAGGATAAACAGACAAGATGACAAAGGACTGGGTGATTGGAGGGTGAAATGACTGAATACCTGGCATAATCTCCACAGCAAAACTGGGCAAGAGATCAGCAAGCAGCCCTGTCCTGCCTAGAAAAGACAGAAGGAGGAGAACAAGGAGAGAGGTTACTGCAAGAAAAACACACTCCCAGCCCCTGCCTTAGCCTCCAGGCCCCTTCCTCAGCCTCCAGTCCCCTTCCTCATCAGCCCACTTGCACTCTGTTAAGTGAATTCCTATCAACCACAGATGTCATGCTGCTCGATGCCTGGTGTCTGCCTCTGCACTTCTGCCATTTCCGTGTCCCTGCATTTTAGCTTTATCAGCAGAGCTGTGGGGGAAAGAATCTGGAGCAGAGCTTCTCCAACCTAGGCACAAAAGGAGAAGAGGAAGGAGGGCCCCTCGGCATGGTTACACAGTAGCATCTTTCTGGAGTTACACTCTACACATGCAGAAAGCTCCTGGAAATGCACGACAGCCCTCAAACAGAAGGATTTAGTTCACTTTAAAAACGTGCTGATGCAGTCCAGATAGACATGAAGCACCTTTAACCCAAGGCCCTTGACAAGCCAGCCACACGCATCCAACACCCGTGGGCTGGGGCTCTGCAGCAGCCAGGACAGCTCCAGGAGAGGAGCCCTGAAGCGTGCCTGTGAGCACGTGCTACTTATTTCAAGAGGCACGAGCAACTTGTTGAGATCCTGTGACGTGAGGCCAACTCTCAAGCGAAGCAAACCCACCAGGGAAGGATTTGTGTAGAAATCTGTGGAATCACTTTGCAAAAGGAAAGGGAGGGGGGAAAAAAAAAAAAAAACAGGCGAGTCAATTTCTAATTTATAACAAATTTTATACAAACAAAATCCAAGCCCAGAGGCAGTTTGGTGCCTATCTGTTTTGGCACTGAATGTCTGGGATGTTTCTGACCCTGGAGGGTGTTACGCACACCCCTGCGTCGGCAGAACAGCCCCACGTGCAGCCGTGTACTCTTTTACACGGCACGGGGATCATGCAAGGTTTTTTAAAGACATACGTAAGGTAGGACAGCTGCTCTCTGAAGAGAGACAGGGGTTGTGGACGTAACCTAACAGAAGCAGCTAAGGCTAAGCCAGTACAAAAGTGGTCGAAAGCTACCCTTAACCTCCCCACATGCCCTTCAGGTCCTGCACTGAGCAGCACGGACACAATGAGGAACTGGATCCCAAGTTCCTTGGCCTCTAGTCTGTCCTTGAATCATGGTATAATCAAATTCCCACTGTCCGTTTTTTCTCAGTGCTTCAGCAGAGGTTCTGTAGAGACCAAAAATCCACAAGGATGCCTGCTGAAGCCATAATGACCATGCCCTGAATGAAGGCAGTGCTTTGCAACCAGTTGTAACTCATCAAAGCTGTCTAGTACAGTAACATCATGAGGTGCTCTTGAAGCCTTAGCAAAAGATACAACAGCAATCCTTGAGATAATCATTCTTTATTATTTTGAAGGAGGACTCCTGCCATCAGTCTACTGCAACACTTTCATCTACATATACAAATAATTTCATGACATTCTTTGCGGTCCATTTTCTTGAAGGATCAAGTGTCCAAAAGGCCAGAGCCATTTGCTAGTGCTGGGTGCCTCCCGATTCCCGGGAGGAATAGCACGTTCAAGGGGGAAGTAGCATCCCTCAAAAAGAACAGCGCATGAGAATTTGATAACTCGTTACAAAGACAACAAAAGTAGTTCCCTTGTGCTACCCATGAGCAGTCAGGTGCTACCCATGAGCAGTCGGGTACTTCCCTGATTGTGCAGCATCACTCGGCTCTGCTGAGTATCTGTTTGGGGAACAAGCTCCCCACCACCACCAGTGGGGCTCACACAGCCCTGGGGGCCCCAGAGCCAGCGGTGGGGGATGCACAAAGCCTGGGCGGGCCCGAGGCAGCAGTAACCCCCACTAGGGCTCGGCCCAAATGCTCCCGCCATGACTAGCCCAGCTTACAGCCAGCAATCACCAAGCCTGCCTCTGGACTGCCATGCCCCTGGCAGCTTTCAACGAACCGTGGCTCTCCCGCCTCCCCGTCCTGGGCCAAATTAATTCCCTGATAACCCTTCCCCCCACTGTGAGCTTCCCCTTAGCAGGGGGGTGGGGGTTGGGGGGGAGCCACAGGCCGGAGCTGGCGGCCACCAGAGCCGTCACGCAGTTGCCATGGTGACGGGAGGCTCCCTGCCAGCGCCCCTCATTGAAGGCTACTTTCCTC